AAAGAAGAGGCAACTATTTGGAGCTGATTGAAGTGGAGCTAAACTAATGTAGACAAACTGATTGTTGTTTTAATTGTTTTCTTGTTTCAGTAGTGGTGAAAGGACAAATGAAACGGCCCGTGCCTACTGTTTTGTCTCGGCACAGCAAAGCATTATTGTAATAATCCTTAAAGCCTTAAATATTTCTACTTTTTTTTTTTTTTTTTCGGGTCATTTTATTTTAACCTTTAGAAAGCTTTACCTTTTTAGATTAACACAGCGCTTCTTTAACAGGACGTGATCAGCAACACTACAACGGTGACATTACGTTGCGTTAGCAGACTTGGATTCGTTTTTATCAGGGGAAGGGCGGGACCAACAAATGACGACAATTCTCATCTGTTTTCTTATCTGTTGTTTTTTTTTTTTTCTTTCTTTATGGTACATTTCACAGCCTCTATAATCTGAGCTCTCTTTGCTTTCAAGTTCCGCTATTTCTTTTTCTCTCTATCTCCCAATCTACCTCTCTTTGGTATTAGGGCCATATTGGAGAAAAAAAAAAAAAGAAAAATTCTGAGAAAGTTGTAATTCAATAAGAAGTAATATTATTGAATTAAAGAGTTTCATCCCTGGATCCAGACTCTTGACGCAGTCTCACCATTTCTTGAGAAACTATGAAACCCAAACATTTCCTCCCTCACGAAGAGGAACATTATTATTGTCTGTGTGATTCAGAGTGGACTTAGTCCCTCGCACGAACATTTCAAACTCCTGATAATGTGCAGATGAGCCAAAAAACGTAAGTATTATGTTATTTATGAAACTTAAAGTGTAATCGAACAAGGCGCTCCAAGATTTTGACCTGTTTTTTTCTCAGAATGTTACTTCATTCTCATAAATTAATTTAATTCTCGTAAAAATTAGCCCTGTTGTCCCTCATATTACAACGTATTCCCGTTATTCTTACAACTTTATTCTCAAAATATCCGATTTTTTTTTTATAAACCCTTTAATTGGCCCTAATGCTCGTCACCTCTCTCCTTGTCCTCAGCGAGCAGTGTGCTTCTTTTCAGTCTACAGAGGCATCGAGCTGTTGGCAGTTCCTGTCACAGACGTGGCCGAATAAGATATTCATCAGCACTTTCTCTCCCCCACCCCCCCCTCACCCCAATCTCTCCATTCTCTCATTCTCACTCTGCCTTTAGCTTCTCCGCGTGTCCTCACAGAGGCCTCTCATGTTCAGCTGGTAATCAGGCACAATTTGCGCAAGATTTCAGTGATTGTTGTTGCACATTAGGAAGAAAAAATAAAAACAAACAAAAAAGATGCGTAATGATTGTATGCTGCTCTATCTGCTAAATGACAAAGCTATTTAGAAGGTATTTTTTCTCATTTTGGAAAAAAAAAGAAATATTTTGCTATATATATATATATTAAAAAACAAAAACAGCTGTCATCAATACGCAAACATTCTGGAAATAGAGAAGTATATGTATTTTTAAATGTTCCTGTTTTTGTGATTTGTTAAAAAATGTTTAGCACAAATTAAAATTCCTCTTTGACGTAAACATTCTTCTGTCATTTCTAATGTTCTGGGTCATTTTTCGTCACAAGAGTCGGAGGCGGAATGTGACGCAGGAATAGAAGTGACCACACTAAACATTTTATTGGCCTTGTGAACATAATATCTCAGGAACGCCTCGAGGGAATTCTTTCCAATTGTTTTTCTTGGACTCGCAGACGAACTGATACGATTCGGTCACACGTTGTGTTTCAAAATAGAAAACTTCAGTTGTCCAACAGTCTTTATTATTAAGTTCCATCATTGAACAGTATAAATAATGACCAGAGAAGAATAAACACACACAGGAACAGAATCAGAAATTGAGTTTTTACATGTGTGAAATAATTTAGTAATTC